TCAGTGGCCCATCTGCAGCAGAAATACAGCCAGCTATTCTGTGGTCTTTCTTCTCTGCACAGTGAATCCCTTGTTAATACCTTATTAGGCTCTCAAAGCTTCTCTGCTATTGGGATCATGCTCAAGCACCCCCTGAAGGATGCTTTTCTCTTCAAGGAACTCTCTGTCATCCCTCTGCTGCCTAAAATTCCACCCCAATCAGCCACACTCTCCTATTTTCCCCAAATTGGGTTCCTCCATCTGACTACCAACAAGCTCACATCAGTGTTCCATTTCTGACATTGGCCGAGTGTGATGCCTTGGAGTGGCACCTGCTGCAGAAGCAGCTCTAGCTTCAGTGGGGCTTGCCAGTGGTTTTCCAGAGATGTCAGCACAACCAGAGACCCACGCAGAATAGGCCCTGTGGAAAAGCCCAGTCTCCTGAGACAGTGAAAACTTTTTGGCCAGTGAAGCCCATCGCAGTCCTCACTAGGAAACTACTCTTCTTCCCAGAACATGCCCGGAGGCTGCTGGAATTCCATCTCCAGAGGCAGTTGATTCACCATCGCTGGGGCCTGCCCCAAAAGATCCAGGAGTCCATCCAGTTGCTCCTGTCCCCCACTGATCAGTCGACTCTGTCTTGGAGCAGCACAGCCCTAGCCAACATGAGTGCTCCCCAACCTACAGCCCTAGAGGCCACTGGGGCCGGTGACCCATTCTCGCCCATCACAGACCCAGTGTCAGTCCCCATGCCACACTTGTTTGACCAGGCCAAGGCAATATTACAGAGCCACATGAACTCCAAAGGTGGGCAGATCCACCAGGGCAAGGTCCCTGCTTGTGTATATAGCTCTTGGCAGTGCATCATTCCTGGGGACCTGCAACTGGCTCCCTTAACCTGCATCCCAGAAAGCAAGACCTTGGAGCTGCAGGCAGCAACTGACCCTGCCCCACAAGAGAAAGTTACACCCTCGACACCAATGGCCCTTGACCAACAGCAACAAGCCTCACCAGATACTGTCACTGAACACCCTAAACTGCCCCAAGCCCTGTCCGAGGGAGCCATTGAGAAACTGGAGACAACTCTGCGGCACAAGTATCTGGCCTTCTTGTCAGGGCTGCCTGCTCTTTATTATGTGGCTCTTTCCAGAGCCATGGCACCGGCAATCACTACCCAAGATGTAATCGCAGGACTGGAGCCTGGACCTGGAAAATTCCCAACTGAACCTCTGACTCAGATGAGCTCATCTGAAGAGAAGTGTCTGAGTCCCGGACCGTGCTTTCAAGATGCCAACAATACTTGTGCAGACATTGCAGATGAATTGCAGGCTGAAGGGCAGGTAGAAGGAATGATCGAGACAGTGCCTCTAGAAAGCCAGACAGAGACTTCTGGGCCCTACACACTCAAGAAACCCATCTTGGCCAAATTAAATTTCCATCTAAGAAAGAAGATCTTAGAGATACAACTGGGAATTCCCATAAAGGCAAGGAAGTCCAGAGAACAAACTATAGCAATCCCAGAGAACACATCCACACAGGCGTCTCCAGAGAATCTGAACAACCAGGGGAAAACACTGCCCCAGAATCTCCCTACCCCACCAGATGCTCCTCGTGCCCCAGATCCAGAATGGCTCCACCTTAAAGAACAGCTGGCCATTGAATTAAAGGCAGTGCAGCAGAACCAGAAGCAACCCAGTTCCAGAGCAGTACCTCATGCCTCTGCCCACTGGGCCTCAAAGATCTCACAACCCAGTGGCGACATGACAGAGGCCCAGGTACTTTGTGTTCAGCTAGAGGCCAGTGTGAACAGCCACAGCCTGGAGGAATCCTGGAGCCCCGAGCCCCAAAGCCCTGGCAAAAGCAAAGACTCAGCCCAAGTCCCCATACAGGTAGAAAAGAGAAAGGACCCAGGAAAACCCAAACTGGCAGGGGACCACGGAGAAGGGGATGCAGGGTTTGCACACTCCTCTACAAAAGAAATAAGCCACCCTGATGCAGCCCAGAGGCCAGAAAGGATGAAGAGGACACCACGCGGTCCCTGGCAACGAAGCCATAGCTTTCATCTTGATGCTCTCTGTGAACATAGTACCCAGCACCCTCAGATTAAGCTTCCAGAGCCACCTCCAGGAATCCCTGGGGGAAAAGAATCTGAAAAGAATGCCCTGCATGACAGTCAAACCAAGCCCAATGTCCTTCTCAAACCAGGAAAGATTCCTAAGAATGCCCAGCCTGTGGTGTCCCAGGCATCACAGGACCAGCCTTTCCTGGGCCAGCTCATTCAGGGCAAGCCTTTGCAGGGCCAAACTTTGAAAACTCAAGTTTTTCAGGGGCAGGTGATGCCAGTCCATACTCATAAGAGGCCCAGCCTTCTAGAATCTGGCTTGAGAAGGAAGATGAAATCCTTTCTGCATTGTTTTAACACCAAGACAAAAGGCAAAGGCCATGAGGAATCCATGTTCTCTTCAGCTGGGAAGGTGGCCAACACCAGAAAAGAAAATTTAGAAAAGAGCTTGGCTCTAGCCAAAAGTCCCACAGGGCAAACCAAGACAGAGAACAAAGGAGGGGACTCCAAGGCCCAATCTTCCCCCACTGAGAAGCAGGTGGGCCTGGGCTTCTTGGAAGGTCCCCATTACCCAGACAGTAAGCTCAGGCACCGCTCCCGCTCCCAGCAACTCCATTGTGCCTCAGTCCTGGGTCACCCCCACCACTGCCCTCACCACTGTCCTAGAGTGGCTTTTGCTATCAACCAGGGAACCTGCCCTAGGTCTGAACTCTCACTTCAGAGGGAAACATTGAGCTCAAGAAGACTCTACACAATCAAAAGACTTTGTAGGCTCTCCAATGTCTGCATTCCTTGAAGAAGACTGCTATTTTCATTTTCATTACTGTGCATTAATGTGCAGGTGGGGCCGAGCACCACTAAAATACACTCTATATCTCTAAACAAAGATTTATCTGTTTCATTCTCTCCACTGTAGTGAAGTGAAGGCATGATGGGAGGCTAAAGTCCTACTGATTTAGAGAAGGAGCTTTATATTTTATTTTTCTTAATGTCTATTTATTTTAGAGAAAGAGAGACAGAGCATGAGGGGGGAAGGGGCAGAGAGAGAGGGAGACTCACAATCAGGAACAGGTTCCAGGCCCCAAGCTTTCAGCCCACAGCCCAATGTGGGGCTCAGACTCACAAACCGTGAGATCATGAGCTGAGCCGAAGTCAGACACTTAATCAACTGAGCCACCGAGGCATCCCAGGGAAGGAGCTTTAACCCACACTTATGCTGGGTCAGCATTCCACACAACTCCTCCCAGCCCACCCTGGACTGTAGATAAATAAATGAACTTGAGCAGAGAAGGAAGTTAAGTTAAATAATTTTATCATGACTTCCCATGATACGCGTGGGCCAGAGGAGCAATGTGGACCTGAGGATAGTAGTGACATGAAAGAGTGTCCAGGAATCCCACAGGCAGAATTCATTGATGACTTGTCTATGTGCCCACAGTCAAGGGGAGGTTTTTAGAGGAGTACCACAATGCTCCAACCTTGAGGAGGCACTTTGTGTTTACCAAAAGCACATAGCTAATATGACACAATGTGAAAAAGACATGATAGAATCTCCTGTCCTCCACTCCCTGTTGGCTATTGGTAAGATCTTTCTGGAGAACTCCTTTCATAAGTTGCTGTAGCTCTCTCACCTATATCCCATCTCCACTGCATGGTAGCTGCATGGAATGAGTGATTCCTGGAATGAAGATTCCTGGAATCACAATAGGACATGAAAAAGGGCTTGTTCCCCACTCCCACGGGCTGTCAGGGAGAGAATTAGGGAGGTGGAACATGTAGATGGATGCTTGAGTACCTGGGACAGAAGCTGACGTGTTCCTAACCAGGACATGATAAGAGAGCAAAGCCAATTCACTTTGCACTCAAGAGAGCCTGGAGCCAGGAAGCCAACCCACGGTTTAAGTGCTTTTGGGGGAAGTAGGTGAGTAAATCTGGGCTTCAGTCCACTTGCTCATAGTGTGATAAAGAGCAATGGTCTAAACCTTCTTGTCCAAAGGCAATGCAAATTAATTCAAAATCAGAGAACTCACCCTCTACTCTACCGAATTGTGACCCAATGTCTGGTAATGGTGTAACTAGAAGTACATTTTTTGCTTAGCCCAAATATGAAGTCAGTCACTGAGTTCTAATCTTGGTATCTCTCAACTTTGCCCCATTTCCTCTATTTTTACTGCCTCTGTTTGTATTCAGTTTCTCATCCATTCTTGCCTGAATAAACTAAATAGTGGCTCATATCCCCAGGGCTTAGAATAGTGGCTGGTGCACAGTAATACTTTAATAGCACTTGAAACAAAATTCTGAGCTGAGGAGCAGACAAATCACTACATTAGTGTGATAAGTCCTATGGAATGGGGGATCCTGTCATAGGAGGAAGTATTCAGCTAATGAGGAACCCAGAAAGATCACAATAAGTATGATTTTGAGAAGTGTCTTATATTCAACAATAAAAGTATTTGAGTACTTACTATATGCAAGGTTCTACAGCAAACACCATAATGAAGAAGACAGAGGACTTACACAGTGGAGCTCATGATCTTCACGGGATAGATGGTCTTACATACCAAAATTGTCTAATCAAAATATATACGTGGTTGTGCCTAGGTGGTTCAGTTGGTTAAGCAGCTGACTTCAGCTCAGGTCATAATCTCACAGTTCGTGGGTTTGAGCCCCACATCAGGCTCTGTGCTGATAGCTGAGAGCCCGGAGCCTGCTTCAGATTCTGTGTCTCCCTCCTTCCCTGCCCTCCTCACACTCTGTCTCTCTCTCTCTCTCAAAAATAAATAAATATTACAAAATTTTTATTACAAATATATATTTGGATGTCCAATATTCATCTCAAACTATAGAAAAGTGAACTCCTGATACCCCACCCATCACCATCACCTAATCACATACACAAAACATGCTTTCATCACAGTATTCACAATATCAGTTAATGGCAATTCCAATCTTACCATTTTCTCAGGACAAAAATATTGGTGTCATCTTTGACTTTTTTCCTAATAGTCCGTATTCAATCCATCAGTAAATCCTGCTGTCTCTACCTATAAGATGAAATCAGAACATAACCATTTATCACTCCCTCAGCTGCTATGAATATTGCAGTAGCATCATAACTAATCTCCCAGCTTCTTCCTGAGACCATACCTCCAACAGTCTGATCTCAGCATAGAAGCCTGATGGTCCTTAGGGATGGTCCTAGCTGTGGATAATTAGATAGATAGATAGATAGATAGATAGATAGATAGATAGATAGATAGACAGATGATAGATAGATAGATAGATAGATAGATAGATAGATAGATTGATTGATTGACAGAGGCAGCTGGATGGCTCAGTTGGTTGAGCATCTGACTCTTGGTTTCAGCTCAAGTCATGATCTCACAGTTTGTGGGTTCAAGCCCCGCGGTGGGCTCTGTGCTGACAATGTGGAGCCTGCTTGGGATCCTCTGTTTCTCTCCCTCTTTCTCTCTCTCTCTGTCTCTGCCCCTTTCTTTCACTCTCTCTCTGTAAATAGAGAAATAAATGCATAAATACTTTTTTTAAAAAATAGATAGATGTAAAACCATAAGATTGGATAGGATCACCAAAGAAATGAGTGTTAGACTCTAGGATACTTTTAACAAATTGGGGGGGGGGGGGATACAGGAAATAATAAGAAGAGACTGTGAAGTAGTAGCCAATGATGTAGGAAGAAAAGCAAAAGAGTATAAAATAATGGAAGCCAAGAAAGAAAATTATTGCAAGGAGAAAGTGAGCAACTGCATGAAAAGTTGCTGATCAGCAAAGTAAGATGAGGATTCAGAGAGGATTGTTAGGTTTAGTAACATAGTCATTGTTCATGGCCTTCAGAAGAATAGACTCAGGTGAGTAGTGGAAGTAAAAGTGTGACTGGAGTAGGTTCAAGAAAGAATGAAAGAGCAACTGATGATAACAAATATAGTCAACTGTCTCAAGGAGTTTCATTCCATAGACGTGCAGAAAATGAGGAAAGAACTGAGCGGGTTTTTTAAAGTGGGAGACACAGTATCCTGGATATTGATGGAAAAGATCCAGTGGAGAGGAATAAGTTGATGATGCAAGAGAGCAAAGTAACGGAATATGAGTGAGTCCCCAAGAAGAGGGGTTGGCCTTGACTAAGCACAGACATTGCACTGGTGTAAAGAGAAGATGACATTAATGAGGGAGGACTTTGGGTGCCTGAGTGGCTCAATTAGTTAAGCATCCAACTCTGGCTCAGGTCATGATCTCCCTACATCAGGTAAACTCGAGCCCCACTTGAGGCTCTGCACTGTCTGCCCTTCACTCATTCATGCTCTCTCCCTCTCAAAAATAAATAAATATACTTTAAAAATTAAAATAAGAAAAGTTTTTTTAAATGATGGAGGACTTTGTATACCAAAAGAAGCAAGGTTTCCCCACAATTAAGAGAGTGGTGAATAAGATCTAGAGGGGAAAAAGAGGAGCTGGGAAAGGATCATGGCAAGTAGGGGAAAGGACAAAATGGAAAGCCAACGCCAGAGGTGGAGCAGAATTCTAGTATATGTGCTGCCGTAGCGAGCACAGGAGCAGAATTCTAGAAATTACCATGGCAAGTTATTTTTAGGGCCTAAGAAGTGAGTAGCAGCAAGTGAGGGGTGCCTGGATGGCTCAGTCGGTTAAGTGTCCAATTTCAGCTCAGGTCATGATCTCACTGTTCGTGGGTTCGAGCCCTGCATCAGACTCTGTGCTGACGGCTAGCTCAGAGCCTGGAGCCTGCTTCAGGTTCTGTGTCTCCCTCTCTCTCTGACCCTCCCCTGCTCACGCTGTCTCTCTCTCTCAGAAAAAAAAAAAAAAAAAAGTCAGTAGCAGCACGTGAGCCCAGATGGGCAGAAAACATGGTTGAAGTTGGTGATCATATACATGAAATAGTTGCTCTCGGAACATAGTAGGAGGGATAGCAGATAAAGCCCTAAATGCATGGTGCATAAGGAAGTAGAATGGCCTTGAGACTAAGAAATAGGGCAGGTATGGTGTCCTAATGTTCACCCAGGGACTGGGGTGATTTGGAGCTGGGAGGACAGAACTGGACGGCAAAAAACAAAGAGGCTGCCCTGAGTGGATGGGATAGATATCTGTTTTGGACACTTTGTATCTCTCAGAAGGTGGCATCTCTGCATTCCCACCTTCTGACCTCTGATACAGGAGCCAAGAGCTAAAGGAAGTGCAGGAATGCTGTAGTTTCCCTATGTTGTGGTATGGGGGTCTGTGGGTTGCCCCTGCCTCACTGATTTCTAAGGAAATCCAGGATGACTCAACATCCCATCAAACCAGGAGGTGGTGGCAAGACTCTCTTCCTCTGATAGGACCCTAGCACTTAGCACAATGTGTCCACTCCTAGCAGGATGCAGAAAATATGGGAAAGGAAGAAGTATGAATGTGTACCTCCTCTGAATGGTGACTCTTTCAGGGATGGGAACCTGGCCCCTGTTGTGGCCCTCAGGGTGAAGAGGCACAAGGCCTAGGCCTGCTGAACCAACACCCTCCAGGTGTTACCCTAAAGCACCCCAAAGATCACAGGAGGTCTTGTAACAGGTACATCCTCCCTGCCGGGTGGGAGTTGGGCAGAGAGCCACATAGCAAGGAGACAAGAAGGGCACCCAGAGTGAAGGGAATGACCCAGAAAGGTCACAGCAACATCATGTGGGAAGCCAAGGTTAATGTGCACACATCCTGACTTAGGCCCTTCCCATGCCCCACTAAGGGCCCCTGTGAGTTCACAGTGCTGACCAAAGTCCTACAACAAAGAGTTGAGGACATAAAGATGAGCTGTAACCAACACCTTCAATATTCTCAGTTTTCAGCAAAGAGAAGAGCAAGGTCAGAGAAGAGCTAAGAGAAGACAGGGTCAGAGCCTGTGACTCAGGCAGGATGCTGAGGAATGAAGCCTTGCTCATCCCATCTCATAACCCTAGCACAAACCTCACCCTCCAGCTTTCCCTAGGCTCAAGAGTAAAATCAGAATAAAAGGCCTCATGGAGGACACAAACTCAAGCATCTACTACTCCAGAGTTGGTGGTAGATGCTAGGATTATATGAATGCTTGCTAGGAAACCCTGGAATTCACCTCTGGCCCTCTGTGGTGACATGTCATGGTGAAAGGTCCTGACCTTCTGGAGCCATTTCCTTGATCTCTGCAGAGGGCACCTGAAAATCTATGGAGAGAATTTCAGGCAACTGACCACGTGCAGTGGAGGAGAGTAGCTTCTCCACAAAATCACTTCTCCTGTCAGAACACGCAGTCCTAGAAGATAGAGACCATGACTGCTTCAGTTTTGTACCCGTTCACCACAACCCATCCTGGGAGGGCAGTGAACACAGAATGAGAACAGGAATAAACCCCACAGATGCTATTCTCTACACCATGTAAGAGGGGGCTGGGCTTCTGCTCTTTACCAGCCATCCAAAGCCTAATGCCCCACCTGGGTCCAAGGGCCCATCTGTCACAGAATGAAGAACAAGAATTGTTCCTGTGTCCCATGTAGGGAGAGCAAAGAAGGGAAGACAGCCTGGACTTCAGGTGGGGATATGAGGAATGAGCACAACGTAGGCATGTGAGGTGCTGGGGGACACAGAGGACCAGATCCCTAATAGGTCTGGCTGGGCTTGCAGAGGACTGTTCATTCTCATCCATCCCCAGAGACAGTGAGGCCAGGACCCTGAATGCTTGGTCTGGATGAGAGCATGGGGAGGGAAAGGGGGCCTGGGAAGGGGCCAGAGGGAGATCTCTGTTTCCAGAAGGAGGGGTGGGCCCTGCCAACTGCCCCCCTTTCCTGCCTTGCCCCTCTTCTCCGCTCTAACTTCTCTGGATCCATGGCCAGGCAAGGCACAGATTGGGGGCTTTCCAGAGTGTATCACTCCCAAGGTCAAGCCTGCTACAGAAGCTGCAGGGGCAGGACCCTGGGCAGGCAGCTGCACCCGTGGGAATCCAGACAGCGGGAAGGGAAAGGAAGCCATTCCTTGCGGTAAATGGTGCTGGCAGCTGGGGAGTGTCAGGAGACAGGGGCAGGGTAAAGTGAGAGGCCAAAGCAGAATCTCACACACAAAGACACAGGACACAGAAGTCCAGCCACACAGAGACACAAACACAGTGACACAAATTCAATGATGCCACTCCAAAACTATTTCAGAGCACACAGAGACAGGTCCAGGAAACACACCTACATAGACTCAAGAACACCCTGAGTCAGACATGTGGGAGCAGACGCTGGCACAAGCACACATGCAGACACAAAGACAGGCTTCACACACATAAACCGACACAGACCATCTTGTAGACCTACAAACACAAATGCAGTCCAAATCCATCCTTCAGACTTGCTCTCCTCCATAAAGCCTCCTAGGCCACCTCGAACCAGGCCTGTCTCTCCCTCCTCTAAGCTCTGCATTGTAATGTCCTTGTCCTTTCATAAGGATAGTCTTGGATTCACATGCATACCTCTCGTCTCAACAACTTGGCTGTGTGCTTTCAAATAAATGACAAGGTCAGCAAGTGAGTCTACTGCCCTCCTCGGCAGCCCCATTCCTCACCTACACACTCATCCCTCCAGTAGTGTCTCCAGTTTACTGCAGGTCCTGACCCCAGCCTTTCAGCAGACATAGACTATAAGGAAAGAAGAAAGCAAACAAACACATCCTTTCAAAGTAATGCTGGTGGGTATTCCCTCCCAAAAGCTTTACCTCGTCTTATGCTCACCACTGTCTACCTCCAATCTGTAACTACTACATCAGTGCTAGTCTAAGCACAGTTACCTAACACTAACCTTAACCATAGAAAGCTACACACTGAATAATGTCTGCACCTCTCTAGGCCTGTAAAAGCACACACTTATGACAGTATAGATCGTCTGCACTCCAAGAACTCAGTAGCTCCTTCAGTAACACCTGCACAGTCATCAGGGTAGGACGTCCCTGAAGAACTCAGTGTTCACCTGGAACCCAGGAGCACCAAGGTGCCCAAGGCCCTTTGACTCTCTTCAAGCAGAAAAGCCTACAGGGACCCAAC